ATACAAAATACTTGCAAAAAAAAATCATCTACTATTGCATATGAGCTTTAATATAGATTCTAAATTAATACTAATAAATTATTATAAATTTAAGTTTCAACTTATAATATTATTATTTTATTATATTTTTTTCATTTAAATATTAATACAGTGATTATTTATTCTGTTTAAATAATTTTCAAAAATTCATGCCTCAAAATTTTAAGACCTCCATAAAAGATCATATTTTACAAGTATATCAAATTACCACGACATTTTCAATCTTTTACTATTAATTCTCAAAATTTTAATGAGCTTTTTAAACAAGTCAAAATGAATAGCAAATGCAATAAGTTATGAAAAGATAAGTACCAAATATAGTGGAAACTATGACTCATCCTCAAATGTTGAAATTTCTCTATATTTTCAATATTATCAATAGACAAATAATTTCTCTAGCTCCATTATTGATATTCTTTTGTAAATTTTAGATATAATTTTTTTATTTAAGAATGAAAGTCACAAATCAAAAAATATTTATGATAAGTATTATTTACAATCTATCATATTTATAATCAAAATATATTTTATTTATAATATCAATATATAATAATAATAATAATTATATTAATTATATTAATTATATATTTAAATTAACATTTAAATTTAAAATTATTTATTTTATTAATTAAATAAATAAAATTAAAAATATTAATTATATTTTATAATATTAATAAATAAATATTTAAAAAATCTATTTTTTTTACAAAATTGATCTACCTTCTTTGTTCTTAGTCCTTGCTTCATCCATTTCTAATTCCTAAGCTTATTTATTCTAATCAATTTTCTTGTTTAAAAGGCATAGAAGAAGAAGAGGGAGGATCTAGTCATCCTTTTTTTGTCTTCTTCTTTATAGAAAGAAACTTATAGAGTTATTGTCAACAAGCTTAAGTAAGAGCGAGTAATAAGAGAGCAAGAGAATAAGAAAGAGAGAGAGAGAGAGTGAGTGAATGAATGAATAAGTATAAAAAAATAAAAATAAAAATAAAATAAAAATTATTGGGTCCACTACGAAGCTTAATGCTTGGGATGTCTTAGATTGCATACTCTAGCTTGTTAATATTGCACCCACACTCAATGCTTTACATGCATTTGTTTCATAGCAAGCATGTGGTTTTTAGTACTAGTTTAGGCAAGCACAAATTGTACATCATAAGCTCCACTCTACTAAGATTTGAACTTATTGGTTGTATTGGTTGATGTTATCTGTTATTTGCAAACTTTGTATAATTTCAGATATTGGTTGGAAATTAAATCAAATTTTATATATACATGGAAGAATTTTTCGGAAGTGCTAATGCAATGGAAGCTTGATTTTAGGATGTGTATTTTTTGTGATAGATTTGTAATCCATTGGCATAGTCAAGAGAATTATGTTTCTTTTTGCTAGCACAAGTGGATTATATGAAGCTTTTAAGAAGGTTGCATTTTGGAAGGAATCCAATTAAAAATGTATACATCATTATCTACAACCACCCATTAAGAATGTAAAGGGAGAAGGAAGAGAGTTGGATGAGAATTAGAAACCAAGAAAATTAGATCAAAATGAAGAAGGTTGAATATTGGGAATGGAGGAAGTAATGATTAAAAACAAAAAGTGTGGATCAATTTAATAAAAAGATAGATTGTTTTAATATTTTTTTTATTAATAAATTAATATATTATATTTATAATGACTATAATTTATAATTTATAAAAAAATAAATTATAATTAAAAATAGATTATAATTAAAAATAAATTATAATTTGTGTAAAGCTGCATAATCACATCTTTGCTTACACATGACTTTTCTTGTCTTTAGCTACAACTGTTTCCTAAATCTTCCAATACTTGTCAAATTATATACCATAAGTTAGAAAATAAAGTATTCAAAATATCAATAACTATAAAAGAATCTAAATTATTTAAAAGTAATTTTTATTCATCAAATTGAATATTTTCTATAAAAAATATAAATAAATAAATAAATAAATCACTAATCATCCTTATAAATTTTAGACTAGAGACTTTAATATACATGATGCATGCATTACTACAACTAAAAATCTCAATTGATAGAAATGACAATTGAAATACTTACTACAAGGTATCATTGGGAATTTTTCCAAAAAACTTTGGAGCATTAATGGACCAATTTGAAAGACCATTTTGGAAGTAAGGAGCAATACTCTACTAAAGATTTTAACACTTATACCATGTAGTATTTATTCTATATAGGATCCTCATTCATAAGGCTATATCATTAAGAATAGGGGGTCAAAAAGTAATTTTCTTTGTGAAAATCAAACTAAACTATACCATATCAATAAGAAGTTTTTTTGACTAGAAGGATGAAGCTATCTCAAAAACTCTTGTTTTAACACTCTGATTATTTCTGAGAAATTACAATTACTTACAATAAGATTGATAAAAAAAATTTATATATTTGAAGATCCAAAATAAATTTTTTATTTTTCAATTATTTCTTGGTTTAGAGCTGCAACTAAAATCCAAAATCCTAAACATTTAAGTCTTGCAAGTTGAGAAGTAAAGAATCAGTACTAAAAACTATGCAATTTTGAGAGGTTGAAATTGTGTTTGCAATTTCTTAACTAACCTCAATCTTACACAAAGCTATAAAAGGTGGATTTTTTAAAGTAATAATATTAATAAATTGTGCACTTTTTGCCTCTTCTTGAGTTATATAATAAGAAAAATTTAAAAACCTTCATAATTAATGATGCTACTCTATTCAAAAGAAGAGAAACCAAATGCCAACATCAAAAGCTTTAGAGTAAAGATATTTGTTCTAATCTCATTGTATACAAATTGTACAAAGGAAGGAATGTTGAGATTGAATTGCATGGTGGCTTATAATTATACAAATTAAAGAAGTTGTTATTCTTTTAGCCAGTTTGATCAACTTCGAGGTGATATCTTTTAGAATCCATGTTCATTGAGTGTCAAGCTAAGAAGTGGTTGATGGCACAAAGTTTATCATCATTCTTAAGGCAAGGGTACCACACCACAAAATAACAATACTGCACTACATCACATGATAACAATAAAGTGTGCAATGCAATAAAATAAAAATTAGTAAAAAAACAACAATATATTTTTTTGATGAATTCAATTTTTTTTTAGAGACAACACCTAAAAAGAATGCTATTCTTTGACCTTCCCCGCTAACCAATTAATGGGACCACCATAAGAGAGACTATTGCTTCTACTCAACTCCTTGCACTTGTATAGGATTTACATTATTATACTCAACCAATCACAAGTCTCCACATTTTTAGGATGCACATAGAGCAACATTACATGTACTTTTAGCAAGTTAGGATGCACTTATAAACTCAGCCTAAAAAAAATTAAAGATTATTATATATATATATAAAAGAAAATGATAAAGCAATAATTTTTTTTATTAAAGCGATCCATTCTATCTTAACCATTATTGCATCTTTGCAGCCCCATCTCTATTCTCAGCTATTCTTTGTTCCCAACCATTGCTAAAGACAAGAGTAGAGGATTGAGAATGTAGAGAATAGGGATGATGGTTGAGAACAGAGGAACAGATGGGAATAAGGATAGGGTTGAAAAGGTACAATGATGGTTTAAACATATGGATTGATTTAGTAAAAATTTGGATTACTTTATCATTTTTCTAGATATATATATATATATATATATATATATAATTATTTTTGGTAGTATTGTTTTTAATAATATAGATGATTTTAATATTTTATTTATTTATTTATATAGTTTTGAATAATGTTTAAATATAGACTAATTGCTTCAAATTATTTTTCTAGAATAAAATTAATAAATTTAATGATTATCTCAATATTAAAAAACATATGTAATTGGTATAAGATCAATTAATTTTAAAAATATATAAATTTTAAATTTTTTTTAAAAAATATTTATATATGTATATATAATGATGATTTTGAACCATTTTATTATTAAAAATATTATATAAAAAACTAGATGATGTCAAAGAAGTCAAGTAACTCACCGCATGCCATCGCCAGCTTAATAGATCGGCCCACCTGCGGACGCAGACGCAGACGCGGACGCGCGTCAGGGGCGGTCACCGTCAGCGTTGGCGGCAGCAGTAGCGATCCTGCGGCGCCAGCCAACGCATGAAGGTGTGGGTTGGCAAACATGGGCATAGAGCACTGCGACCTGATCGATACAGAGTGGGCCCGAACGATATCACCGCAAGCCTTACCCAGATTAACAAAGACAGCAAAGAGCATAATCCCTAAACTCCCGTCCTCCTCAATACAACACAAAAAGCCAGTTGCAATGACCTTTCTGATTTCCTCGTCTGTGGAATTTCCAGCGTCTAGTCAATGTCGATTGATGGCGTCTGTACTCACGCCATCGTTATCTGTAGGGGACTGAAGCCTCCTTTATGTGCTGGACTGATGTTGTCTCCATTGAGTAACCCAACCAGTCCATGTGATCGACTGCAACGTCGTAATACCTCTTGTGGGTTGTGGCAGTTGGAGGTCCAATGATCAGTACTGTCGTTTTGCTGGTTCTGAAGTTGCTGAGCTAAGTTTTGTGATCTGGGTTTGAGGGGGTGTCGAAGCTGGGGAGGTGTTGTTGGTGTGCACACTGGGTGCTGTTGCTGTTACGATGCAGGTCCGGAGTGAGAGGTTTGTGGAGAACTACACTGGTTTGCTCCCCTTGCTCGTGAAGATGGTGCTCAAATGTAAAGCGAGGGCGGGGTATGCGAAAGTTGGTGCAGATAGCGGTTCGAAGAGTGAGTGGGGAGAGCTTGTGGCTGTGAATTACAGCTTGGGGTCTGCGCCACTGCGGAGACGACCGTGGAGAACTCGGCTCCCCAAGGTGCTTAGACGAACGTCACGACGATGTCTGGAATAATTTCCAGAGCTTGGCGAGGGATTTGTATGGCGCCGTCCTCGCCGTCTCGAATTCCAAGACCTAGAAATGTCTAGAAGTGCGGTAGTTGGCTTGCGAATTCAATTGCGAGGAGTCGTTCGCATGAAGTGCGATTTTGTGAGAATATATGTTTGGATTGGAATTGCTGTTGTACTGCAGCGTGCATGATTTCAACCTGGGTGAAGCCACAGTGTTAGCCTGTGTCTATGGCGTTCCAGTTTCTTGTAAATATTGAGGTGGTGATGTCATTATAATATCTCCGAGCTAGTCACTAGGCTACAAGTTCGAAGAAGGTAGTTCAGCTGTATTTCAATTAAAAATTGCCGTTCTACCTCTGACTTTCGGCATCGTCTTCAAAGCAATGGAACTAATCCACTGGCCATGTATCATATTTTGAGTTCACAGACTTGTATATATACTAGTATCTGTCTGGCTTGAAGTCCTCACAGATCAGATGAAGTCCAAAATCACGTTTCCCACAACGTTTGGCCCTCGAGCTGCAATGCTCAACAAACAGTCACACGAACCTTGAGGCCACATCTCACGAATCCTTATGAACAAAGAGCTAAAACAACCATCTGAGCCACCGAGCAGCCCGATTTACGGAGAGAAGGAAACCCATCTAAAAATAGATTTAATGATGCATCTCATAAGTCACTACTTAAGTGAAGATACGAAAAGAATCTAATAATCGAAAAAGAATGAAGCTTCAAGGAGGCAGATGGGGCCCCAGGACCCCGTAATGGTCCAGCAAATGATATAAAAACAGGCAGACGATGATCCGAAGAGGACACTTACTGTAGAAGAACCGTGGACAGTGGGTTTGGACTTAACCAGTTCATTCCTTCTCTTCGGCCACCGTGTCCCACTGTCTCTCAATCTACAACCAAAGCATTCCGCCAAGTCCTTTTCACGGCTCCTTCGCTGCATTTCGGCCCGAGATTCTTGTCTCGCACTCACGAACACATGGTTGAACTTTCTTTCAGATCGCAAGTCACCAGCTGCCTCCGTTTTTTGCTGATAGGCTAGCAGCAGGGGGAGCGAGAGAAGTATCCATTGCAAGGGGGGAATGATTTATGCGAAAAGCGGTCTGGAAGGAGCTGCTGCGGTGGAAGAGGGGAAGTGGAAGAAAAGGATTTAGAGTGACCTTTGGATTAATAATGTTTTGACAATTTAGTTTTCTGCCCATGATCATAGTCAATCGGACTAATGTCTCTGACATGATTGTCAGTGATACGGGGAAACGGATGGGTGTACGGTCGTGGAGGTGGCGGGTGAGCCTGCTGTGGGGAAGGTGTGTGTGAGTGTGTATTGCGGTGATAGAGCCCAGGGTTTTGGAGACCGGCTTCTGTGCCATGAGGTGCAGCAGGATAGTACTGCAATCAGGGAAAAGGGCTGCTTCATTTCAGCTTTTGTAGAATGTGATGGAGGCCCGGGGGGGATGGCGCCATGCTGCGTCGCCGCGGCTGCCTCTGCTGCTGCTGCTGCTGCTGCTTGTGAGCTGCTTGGTAGTGCAGCCTTGTCAAGCGGACGACATCGTCCACGACGACACGCTGGCTCCGTCACAACCTGGCTGCTCGAACAGCTTCGTTCTTGTACGGTGCCGCTTCTTGCAACCCGCCCCCTAATTGATTCCTTTTTGTCTTCTTTACTTCTTTCTTTCTTCAGCTTGCGATTCAAGTGCGCCTATCAGATCAGTGGCAACAGGCTGTTAAGATTCTACTGAAGATGAGTATTAGCTCACTTTTGGAAGTTTGTTGTGAGACAGAGAAACTGCAGAGTAGTGGGTTGAAGAATGCTTTTGTTTTTCTTCCTATCTTATTGTCACTATTCTAATAGAGCTCGAAAATTTTACTGCACGGCCCGCCGAAGTTGGTCCTTGTGTGCACATACCCGTCACAAGATTTTCCAATACTATTCTCAGCTTAACATCTTTACTCCATCTTCTTCAAGTTAGAGTGTGATTAGCTTAAGACACAAGATAGTGATCTTCGTGGTTGACCAGACGTAATTAAGTTAAAAAACCGGATGGATTGGGCCTTGTCTAAATCCATTACATTCGATTTGAATGGGTAGGATTGGCTGCACATATGAAGGACCTGGGCTCTGATGAAAATATTGGAAGGCACCTGAACAGCCTCATACGATTTGGTGGGCCGCTTCAACCTCCATGATTCAGTGGTCATAACTATTGGAAATCATACCCAAGAAATTAACTGCCGTGCATGCAGCGGAGAAAATAGCAATGCATCCGGACTACATTGAACAATATGTTGGGGCAAGGGTATTGTCTCAACATTTGACGTGATCACTGTGCTGTCGGTGAACAATTTAATCGTCGGGTTTAATGTTCTTAACGTTGCAGCACATAACTGGAAAGTCTCTTTCTTGCATCTGTTTCGTGGAGTTAATATGTAAAGAAAAGTAGAAAAATAGAATTGTGTCCCGTAACCTGCTGCTCGCTAGCTCTAATTTGAGGCTGGAAGTAAGAGTGCAAGGATATCACGTAGCCGATGCAGTTTGTGGTATGTCTCATTCGCCTGTGAGTTGAAGAATGTGATGTAAATGATAGAAGAGGAAATGGGTGGGAAAAAGAAAAAAAAGTGACGGTGAATTATGCGGCAGGTTAAAATCAGGACCTGGATCAAAGGAGAAGAAGATTCCGAGATCGTGGGTGTGAGTGCAAGATTTGGCAAGCTTATTGCTGATCATGAGCAAGGAAAAACTAGTGTTCCATTGTCAAAGCTGGATCCTGAAGATGGATGCACTGACTCCATCAAGCCAGTAGGTCCTCTAAACTTGCGGTTGCTAGAGATCTTTAGCATTTTACCGCATACCTTCAATGTTGCACTCAAATTGAGAGATTATTATTTCAAAAGTTGCCGTAAAGAGCTGAAAATTTTAATTTTCACGCAGAGAACTTTTGAGGCCTGATTTGGGTCTGCTTTCACGAGTTTCACTTCTTGTTAGTTACATGTCTGGAAAATGTCGAGTGACTCTGAAGCTTGGTGTGATTACGATCTGGTGTCTCCATAGCTTCAGGGATTCACAGCCCTGGTTGAACGAGGTAACTGTACTTTCACAACCAAGGCCAGGACGGCTCAGAAGGCAGGAGCGGTCGCGCTTCTGGTTGTGAACGACAAACAAGGTTCTCATCTTTTTTTCCATCTATTTTACCCCCCCTCCCTTTTTCTTTTTAATTTTAATTTTTTGCTTCTGTAACTAGATATTGTAGATGCCACTAGACTGACATATGATCAAGTTTCGTATATGGGAGATTATGACAGCTATTTTCTAATTCAATTCCTCTCAGCCTAGCTTAAAGCTCCTGAATTTTGTCATGTGTTTGTTGGTTGGCAAAAAATTTCGAGGTTGAACTGAGGCAAGTTTGGCCTGCAGTGCAATGAAAAAATGTAAAACCAATTGAGAGGATATAGTCACAATCCGTACGATAGAAGTATATAGCACTGCCACCCAAGGAAATATATGTACTAATCTGCATGTAACGTACATGTAGAGCTTTACAAGATGATTTGCTCCGAGAATGATACTTTTCATGATATCATCATACCATCTGTTTTGCTACCAAAGGCTGCTGGAGAGCATCTGGAGGAAGCTTTAGATTCTAACAACGAAGGTAAGTTCAATTTCCACATGAGATTGATTGTTGGAAGGTAGAACAAATGCTGGACCTAGGACATGGATGAGTATTGTATGCACTCAGTGGCCGGACTGGAGGTGTTGTTGACTATGCTGGGAAACATTCATTCATAGTTTATTACTTTATTTCCTTTGGATTGTTCCTTAACTCTGGCTGGTTGGTTTCAGTACGAGTGCTGCATTACTCTCCAAAGAGGACAATGGTTGATATAGCCGAGGTCTTTTTGTGGTTGATGGCTTTGGGTACTATTTTGAGTGCCTCATTCTGGTCAGCTTGGACTGCTAAAGAATCTGCGCAAGAGCACTACCGTCGCTTGAAGGTATCAAACAGTCGTAGCCTCGTCCGATGTACTATATTACTTTATCTGCACCTGCAAAATATTATGATATCAATGGATATTGTTGTGTGCTAGCCACATTGGGTGTTTTTTTCTCCACTCATTCTTGTACAAATTTGATTGAAGATTCTACTCTTATTTTTCTCTGAAATCAAGAATGTTGAATTCATCATTTCACATCATTAATATTTCCCGAACCTCACCAGGAACTGCCAGAGCTTCCTGCCGAGGATCTAGTGGAGGCGAGAGATCCTGAGAAGGCAAACAAGGATGTAATTGATATCAACGTGCTCTCAGCGGTGCTATTTGTGCTTATGGCTTCAGCTTTTTTGATGCTTCTCTACTTCTACATGTCAGCTTGGTTTATGCGGGTATTGGTTATCCTTTTCTGCATAGGCGGGTTTGAGGTAAGTACATGGAGAGCTGTTGTGTAGAATGACCCTGATCATATCCTTTTTTACTTCCTCCGCTGATCAGAATATGGTTTCAGTTCAATTCCTGCTGCCAATGTCTAGAACATATTTCATAACAGCCCTCATTAGTTGCTCTTTAACCTTTGATGAAATGGTGTCAATTATGTTTCAGGGTTTGCAGACATGCCTTGTGTCCCTTCTGTACAGGTACATGATGTCTTCCATATCGGTTTCAAAAGATTTAACCTAGTATGGAAGCTCGAACATTCAGACACTACCTATCCTCATTTCGTATGTGCAGAGGGAAGATAAGAAAGCATTGATAGAGATTTAATGCAAAAAAAATTCTTGATTGCTCTGCAGGTGGTTTCCTAAGGCAGGGAAAAAATTCATCAAAGTCCCTCTTCTAGGAGAAGTGTCTGTCCTTGCTCTGTTTCTCTCGCCCTTTTGTCTCGCGTTTTCCGTTGTTTGGGGCGTTTTCCGTTTGAACTCCTATGCCTGGATTGGTCAGGACGTTCTTGTAAGTTTTCTACCTCATATGTGCCACTGATGAAATTGTGTATCTCGTGCTGTTGATCCAGTTCCGGTTAACCATTTTTAGTTCGTCTGGGAAGTCAGGATCAAGCGTCATGTACTCGACCTATCTGATAATAATTTCTGGTTAGATACCATTCGCTAGAATATTTATCGACCAGCAAACCTAATGTTTGAAAGAGCTTCTGGATAGTTTCTTGCCTGTAGAATATTTAGCCATGATTCGATGTATGCGAGACACTCATCAGTGTTGCCTTGTTTTTTCAAAAAAATCGTGCAGGGGATGGCACTCATTCTCACAGTTCTTCAGATCGTTCGACTGCCAAATATTAAGGTACGCTGCTTCCAAAATGAGGATACCAGTTCCTTTAAGGAAGAACGTAACCTCAAGGTCAATCAACAAAAATATGAGTATTGACACTTGTTTGATACACATAATTCTCAGTTCTAATTATATGACAGATTGATGCTTATTTTTAGTTTCTCACAAAGAAAGTACAGTCGTTGGAGAGAAATGCGTGTCAATAGAGGCCTAAACCTGACCCATTTGAATATTCTTTGGCAGAGGAAACTTATTTGTATGTTATGCGACTTTTCCTGCACAGGTTGCCGCAATACTTTTGGGTTGTGCGTTCCTTTACGATGTTTTCTGGGTTTTCATCTCACCAACCTTCTTCCACGAGAGTGTGATGATTGTGGTACGTCATTCAGCTCTTTTTGTCGTTATGTTCACTTAGAGGAAATGGCTCTCAAAGAAGTCTCACCCGCAGCACCCATTTACTCTCCTCCATGTTCCCTCTGATATTTCTCTCAGACAAAGCTCAAGACATCTCAAGATCAATAATAATGGTTACAGAATATCAAATACAACATGGTTTCTTCGTAATGTTGCCAGTCTTTTCTTTGGTTAAACGAAGAATTTACTTGATGCAAGGGGAACCATTGGTAGAACTGATGCTCGATATCGGTCCCAGCTTAGTTACGTTGAAACATCCAACTGAAATGATTCTCAAGACAGACTGGACGGTCATGGAAAACGTTTGGTGACTCTGACGCCATGCACTAAAAGCGCAGATTGATGTGGCACTGCAATTTGCGGTTGCAGTTGTTGCCTAGTCTGATCCTATGCTAGTGACAGTCATGTCTTCCATCGATCGTACACTCCACATCCCCCTGAGCTTCAGAAATTAACAATCGAGTAGAAGGTTTCATATGTTAAATCCTACTCCATGTATAAACCGTCTGGTGATGACAGGTTGCACGTGGAGATAAAAGTGATGGCGAAGGGATACCAATGTTGCTGAAAGTTCCAAGGTTGTATGATCCTTGGGGAGGTTACAGTATCATTGGCTTTGGTGACATCCTACTCCCAGGGTTGCTTGTCTCCTTCTGCTTACGGTACGTTGAGATTTTAATTTTACTTTAGTCGATGAGTCGTGAGGTTTGTTAGATTTGTAGTGTATTGGGTTTACTAGCTTCGCGCAGCCATGATGACACGAGTACATGAAAGTCGGTCGCTGGATACAGCAATTGTGCAATACCTAGATAATTTGTTTCCTCGATAGATTCGTTCACCTCTAATTTTTGTCACTGAATTTTGTTTGTCAGGTATGACTGGACAGCAAGAAAGAGTTTGTTCAGAGGCTACTTCCTATGGTCCACAGTTGGTTATGGCCTAGGTAGGCGCAAGCAGTAGTACATTGTCATCCATTATGTACGTTTCGATTGTTGTCTAAGTTTTTGTTGTTGAACCTACAAAGTTAGGGTCCCACCATGCAGGATTTATGGAAATGTAGTATGCACCTGCAACTATACTTCTTTGAGTCCTTAGTGGAGGAGTTGAAGTAACCTTTGCTGTGCACATGAAAATAGTGTTCGTCACTCATTACCGAGTGATGAGGAGAGTGTCTTGTTATGTCATCTAAGCGATCACCTTGGAACAAGTAATGAGACATTGTTGAACCCCGAAATAACGTGAATCTTTCTACCCTTCGCTCCTGAATTTACATGGGATAGATGAACTTCTTGAGCGGTCAGTGTTTCATAATCCTGTACTAACATTCTTCTGGCCGTCTCTCTCCACTTTGAAGCAAAATTCCTGGACGAATAAGGTGAACACCTAACATATGTTTGGCCTTGTTGGTGGACTTGTAGGTTTATTCATCACATACGTTGCACTGAATGCCATGAATGGGAGCGGGCAACCCGCACTCCTTTACATCGTGCCTTGTACTCTAGGTATTTCTGTCTATCAAGCAACATTCAAATCTATTTTTTCTTTTATTTTTGACTTTGATATGTCTTTTGAGAGTGTTTTCATTCGCGGCTAGTTTAAGAAGCGATGCTTTAGAATCTGCTGAAGCAATCTTCAATCTCCATTCTGCTTGGATCAACCTATCTGGAACTCAAGGAAAGCTTATCTCTGCTTTTCAAGCTTCCAGCACGTTCCTATCATCCGATTGCCTTCCAGTTGCTGAAAATCCTTTAATTGTGTGAGCAGGGACGGTGCTTTTGCTTGGGTGGTGGCGAGGAGAATTGAAATCTTTGTGGTTCAAAGGAGACTCTCTGGACCAGTTTCCAGTGGATGGTGAACAGGACCACCATCCAGTGGGCAGATCACCGGAATAGTAGACTTCTATCACAAAAACCCAGTGTAGTAAAATAGGAGAGATCCGAGCGGAGTCTGTCCATCTTTCTATCTTCGTTGCATGTACTTGAACCACACCAGTGTAAAAATTGTTTTCCTTCCCAAAAACTAGTCTTCAGCTCTCCCCAGCTCACAGCTCTTACAGCTTTTGACAATGTAAGCTTGACATCTCCTTGAATTGCAGTAATGCCCTCGAGTGTTGTGGGTTGTATTTTTACCATTAACTGTACAGAAATAATGGTGAAAAAAAGCACATTAATTCATCATCCAACAATTGAAGATACAAGAAACCTGATAGCTTGACACAATGTTGATGTATTTTTGATCATTTCAGCAAAAGTCTATAATTTAGCTTTGCAACATAAAAATTTTCATTAAAAATTTCTTGTATAAAACAGCGAAGTGGCGACAAATACACGGGATAAATAGGGGAGACAAAACGGATTGCTGATTGGTTGCATGCCTCATTGTTTTCATCAAAAAAGTGAACCAAAACGTGAGTTCAGATGGGCCTGTTAACGTTGATCATATCAAAGGTAACAATACAAGCTCATAGCACAATCTTGCACTGCGTTCATGATTATGGTGCTTGCGCGAGGCGGTGATAAAAAAGAAAAGAAAAGGCGGGTACTTGTTTATAGTTTGTACCAAAACAACTTTAAGGAATGTTGTGAAAGTTTTATACAATTTTTTGGAAAAATACCGGTGAGCTCAAAGTGTGAGGGTACGTGGATGTTGCGGTGATACAGAAGTGTTTTAGCCTCAGAACAAGATCTAGAAAGATGGTGTCCAAATATTTGCCATCGCACACAAGCTGTTGGAGGTTGTAGTGAAGTCATGCGTGAATTCAACCTCTTAACATTCGTAGGATTGGTCTGCTTAAGACATCATTTGTGATACAACATTCGAAACACTTTTAGAGCGTCGTCGAGACCCACCCATCTCCCTGTTTTGTCCAGGAATGTTGCAGCGTGGGTATCAAATGATTCGGGATTGTCAAGAGGGAGGGATTGGCGTGGAGAAGAAAGAGGCGCCGCATGTGGCGGTGTTGTTGAATGAAGTGCTGGCCAAGTTCAGGGACCGAAGAAATCTATCATAAATAGCGAGCGAGGCAGATAATTAAATTTTAACAATTGGTAAGCACTGATGAGGGGAACCAACCCAGAATGCCAAGTGACAGAAATATGTATCGCTTAGTCACTAGGGGATGGTGTTGTAGTTTGAACCATCTAAGTGGCGTAATGCGTCTCCTCTTCGTTCTTCTTTCATCAGACTCTTGACAAAATTGATGTATGCTATCATTGCTGTTAAAATGTTTCAAGAGATAGTTTATGATGTATCTTTTGACTAACTGTATAAAAATACGGTTCTTGACTAATGTGAATGCAGATTAGAAACTGGATTTTGAATGATCAAGTCAAATTTACTAAAATAGAGGATTAAAATAGCATGCACAAAATAGCTACATTGTACATGATTAATCATCCATCTATCAATGCTTTGTTTAGAAGGGTTCCAAATCTAAATAAAATCAACATATTAGTTGTCAAAGTTTGAGTGCCCTAAACATAATGCAACATCTATTTAAAAATAAGAGTCAATTTTTTTTACCTTCAAGTTGATAACAAACAAATTTGCTTCTAAAGGCTTAAATAAATTGATACATACAACTTCTTTGTGAGAGCTCAATTTGAAACTTTGCAAAATCAAAGCAACATCCAAATTAAAAATCTAACATCCTACAAACTTCATTTGCCTCACTTAAATAGATGAATGTTTCAAATAAATAAGTGTTTAAAAAAAAATTCAAACAATGTGGGCAATTATGTTGGCAATTATGTTGGCACAGACTCCCAAAGAAGAAGCATTGACAATAGTATATCTTGCAAATTTTCTTGAAATAGAAGGTGTTTTATATTTATGGAAGGTAATTTTAACTTGATTTAAGGAGTATTTATATTGTAGCAGTCACCATCATAGTCAAGGTTAAGATTTTGCTGTGAAAATGATATCAAGATATTTATTTGTTTATGGTTTTTTCATGATAAAAGTAGAAAATTGGGACTAACTATGGTGGATACTAGTTGGTTTTTCCTTGAAATTACTCATTTCTTATTATTAAGTTTATCAAAGTTCTATTGTAATTCAACATGAATTTGGTCCAATAGTTGCATGGTTTGGTACATCTCAATGCTTTACATTGTAATTTTAAGTTGTAGCTTTCAAAAGTCAAGCGAGCAATTTTGATTGTTCTATGACTAAGTAGAAATGTTGTCCAAATCCACGAATAATGACAATATTATTTGTTTACAGGAATATAGTGGTTGTATCATTGATTTTATATACAAACATAATTTTTGCATATTGTTATATTAATGTAGTATGAATTTACATGATATACACAAGAAAATCACTACCTTCAAGGATTCTTTAGTCTTACTTATAGGTGGTACCAACAATTAAGTCACAAGATCATAAATTGATCTAAATGTTTTCAAAGAGGATTAGAAAGCTAAGATTTCTTTTGCAATATCATGATTAAAAAAACCTTTTACAAAGAGATGATAGAAATTAGCATTAAGAAGATAATTTTTTATATAGCTCAAGTAATTTTAAATATTTCTCATATTTCATCATTTTAGCGATTGTAAACATCTTGCTAGACCTTATGAATGTCAAATGTCACTTTTGGATCTAAAAGAGCTAATTTTGTGGATTAATAATGAACAAATTTATTCAACCAGATATGCGACCATCTACAAGTTCTTGGTGATATACAATATATTACATTTAGGTATTTTTTATATACATCACTAAAAAAAAATTTGTGATTAGAATTTTGGTGTAGTTAATGATGAATTATTTTGCAAGACAAATATGGTCAATGTGATATGTATCAATATTTATGTCTCTAAATTAAGAAAAATATTGATTTTTTAAAATTTGTGGCTACAAATCTACTAGCTACTTTGTGCAACAAAATGTGTTTGACAATATTGTACTAGAAATCTTTTTGATAAGAAATCTTTCTTCTTTACATTCTTTTCATAATTAGCACTTGATTCTTGATTTTTTGTGATTGTCACTCAATGATATTGTATGCATATTCACTTAATTATTCTATCCCTACTATAATTAAGGATACAAGAGATACAAAAGCATAGCGCATCAAAAGGCATAGAAGCTTTATTTTTGAAAGAGCTACATTACTTTTTGTACAATAAGATGTTTTTAGAGATACCATTGTCTTGTAATTAATCAAATTCTTAAGATTTTGTAGCAACAATATGGATTCAATTAGTATATATATATGTATATATATATATATATATATATATGTAAGGTATTGCTAATACCACCACAATTATTTCTATTTCCACCATAATTTATTGTTATTAATTTTTAAACTAAATTTTATTAAAATTTAATTTAATTTTTATATGATTTAACAAAACATATTAGAAATAGTTATGGAACTTTTTTTTTTAATTTTAAAAAAAAAAAAAAAAAAAAAAAAAAAAAAAAACATGATTGATAGATGGCAAGTAAGGATGGCAATAACAAAAATTGTGGTGTCATTTTTAATATTGTATATTCATATATACACACACACACACACACTCACATACATATATATATATATATATATATATATATGTGTGTGTGTGTGTGTGTGTGTATATATGTAAATATAACAAAAAAATAAGTATGTTACATATGTAAATATTTATTTTATTTAGCTTTAAAATTGATAAAAATATATATTTTTTTCTTTTATAAATAATTTATAGAATATTAATATTTTATATGAATACCTTAAAATAAGCGTGTTACTAACGCTACTAGAATTATGCAACTACCACCACAATTTGTCATCCACCACATACCACTATAGTTTTTGCTACTACCACAACAACTTGTTTTTATTAAAATTTTAATTATTCTTTATTTAAACTGAATTATTTTTTATTTAAGTTTAAATATATATATAAATAATTGAAATAAAAAAAACTTAAAAAATATGTCAAGTAAGTGGCAAGTTGAAGTAGCAATAGCAATATTCTAAAATAATAGTAATAGTTTTATAAAATGATATTTTTTTCTTTTTAAAATTATTAATCATTTAAATAATAATTAAAAATCTAAAGGTTAAAACTACAAAAATAAAAATATATTTTTTAAAATATAATTCATGATAATATTACCTTTTTATTATTATTATTAAACAAGTATTTTAATTAAATTAATACTTTTGTAGTTCTTTATTTTTATTAGTAATCTTATCATTAAAAAGTATTAAGATTTTATGAAATATTATTTTAAAGTTTTTATGATGTATTTAATGAGAGTAAAAATTATTATAATCTTATTTTATTATATTTTTATTTTATTTTATAAATTAAAAGACATGTATTTGAATATAAATTTGGTTGTGTAATTATATTTGAAATATTTTCAAAATAACTAGATTTTTATAGCATTATAGAAAATTAAAATGACTATATTTTATTAATTTTAAAACTAAATGATATATTTTTTATATCATGACAAAAGTTGTAACCATTATTTTAATGATTGTAATAATTTATTTGATTTCAAAAAAATATGGTTATTTTTTTAATCTTAAAAATTATTATTTCAAATTAAATTTATATATGTATTTTTGTGTTTACAAATTACTATATTTATTAGATTATTAAAAAAATCATGTATTATATTTTTTATGCTTTTAAACTATTAATGATACAAAAAAATTATTTAAACAATCATATTTTATGTAATATTTATATATAATTTTTTTACTATATCAATGAGCTAAAATATATCTAAAAAAATAAAATAAGTAATTTCATATCAATTTGAAATTTATTTAAAAAACCACAACTCTTTAAGATTATTTATTTTATTTTCTAAAATTTTGGATTTTATTATTTTTTGTATTTCTTGTTAAAGTTATTGAGCTATTTTTAAAATTATTATATATGATTAATAATATTTTTAATGGTTTTAAAATATAAAATTAGAAAGAAGTAAATTAAATTAAGTATATTTCATAATATCTTACATATAAGCTTTTTAGAAGCTTTACAGATGTAGATTTGACTTTACAAGTATTTGTAAGTGATTAGTGTATTAAAAACTTATTCAATAAGTTGGCCATGTGTTGCATATGTTGATTATTTGTTTTACAAGTTGGCCATATGTTGCACATATTAGCTACTTA